CTCCGTCGCCTATGGCACCTCCAGCTCGCCGCCGTCATTCTACTACGGACCCTCCAGCGTTTCCCTTTCGTGGAACACATTACTCCCGGAGCTCCCGCACCTCCAGAGCTTGCACATCGGCGGAACGCCCCTCGAGCCACTGCTCGTGGAGCTGGGCGACGAGCCATGGCACTGCCCCGACCTCGAGGTGCTGGGCATGAGGAATTGCCATGGGCACATCGAAGGCGTTGGGAAGCTTGTGGCGATGGTGGAGGCGAGGAACCCGCCCGGGGGTGGGGGTGCGGCGACTGCGGTGAAGAGGCTCAAGTCATTAGAAGTGTATGATTGTGCAAATATTGGGGAGGATGTGGTGGATTGGCTAGGGAGCCGGGTGGATGAGGTCGTGTGCACGGAGCCGGATTACGAGAGGTGAGGTGTTTAGTGCTTTCATATTCCTGAGATGAGACGGAACCTTACGCTACTTTTTGTCAGGTCTCCGATATTGCACCCGTACATGTGACAGATGGGTTAAACTGATACGGGGATGTAGCCTCTTTGAGCCAGTGGAAAAGCTCAATTTGTATATCTTATACTGGAAAACATGTACACATATCGCCACCCTCTCATGCGCACTCTAGAGCGAGTGATCAGCAACAATTGAGCACTGAGCATGAGCACCGATATCACTGATTCGTAACTACGTGCATTGCGATGTGAATATTGAAAATTGACAACGGCCTTGGAAACTATCAATCATCTGAAGGACGGCAAAATTTGACTCCTTACCTCATGCCAAAGACTCATACCTCTCAACAGGATCTTCAGGGAAACCCTGTGTATCACCTTCATCTAACACGTACAGCCAGTTATCGCACAACATATTCAGACTGGAGAGCACAAGCGTAAGAGAGGCTGCGACACCATCTGGGTTGAGAATTGGTGATCTTCAATGGCAAAAGTGAGAATGTGATGCGGAACAGTAGTTCCTAGCTCGGCAAAATTTGAAACATCCTCTGTAGCGTCAACTCGGAGTGTGAGGTCGTGCAGATACGGGCAGGCGGCAAGCAGAGGGAACAGTCCAACTAGCGGTTATTTTGGGAGTGGAGTGGAGTGTACATTGTTCAAACTTGAGAATTTCGAGGTGGGGCCATAATTCGCCCATTTTGGCAAGGTCCGCGTAAGTCAAGTTGACGACACTATCAACGTCGATGTGTAACGTCGATAGGTTGGGCAGGACCAGCAGAGGAGCAAGAGTGGCGAATGCGATTGTATGGTTATCAACAGGTGGCTCCCATGGAATGTATGAGGCGGCCTCGAGGCGGAGCAACGCCAAGTTTTGGGTGAGGTGAGGGTTTTTGTGAATGCTCTGGAAGAATCGGTACAAGTCCCATGTGCCGTCGTTTTGAAAACGGATCTTCATGGCCTTGGGACGTTCGAAGCCACGGGGAAGCTGGAAGAGGTCTGTGTAGGTTAAGATGGAGCTTGCGAAGACTCGGGAAAACTTGGTCTTGATGATGTCCGACAGCGTGCATGGCGGCCACCGAAGGAACAGACAGCGCCATCTCCTCTAGGCCTGACAAGGTTGAAAAATGGAGGAAGGCAGAAGGATCTACGCAGAGAGATAAGGTTTGCAGGGCCTTCAGTGATTAGAAGCCACGAAGGAAGGAAACGAAGTCCCAAGATCTGAACGTTGTGAGCCTATGGTCCTCCTCCCTGCGATATTTATCGAGTTGAAAACTCGAATGGGCGAGGCGGCCTCTATTAACACGCGCCCGATCGTTTTCCAAGGCATCATGCTTGGATTCAATTCCACGTCGTTACTCGCGTGGCCAAACGCCATGATGTCAATCGTGGTCAGCTGAGGACCGATAATAAGACGCGGACCGGGATAGACAACATGGGCAGAGAAATCGCGGAGGTAGAGCATTGCATGCTGTACATGGGGAACAATGGAACCAAGGACGGGCTGGCACAAATAGAGCATGTGGAAGAAAAGTTTGACAAGCATGTATGATGATCGGGGCCTGCACACGACCCGGACCCGCGCAGCGTTCTCCTGAATACTTGAGTAGTCCTTTGGCTTAAGATCTCGATTGAAGTGCTGAACGTAGAATCGATCTCGTTAAGCATGTCTGGACTTCACAAACGGATGATTAAGTTGCTCACTATTTCCCTTTCTTGACACCGTACAAACGGCGTGTCCAGCGCCTCATCGAGGATGCGAAATGTATCTTGAGGGAGACAACGAAGCACAGGATCTAGCTCTTGAATGGTGCGCCAAAGAGCGTTGCGAGCCGGCTAAATTTGAACAATTGACAGGTCGACGCGATGTCGACAAGGGAGGCTTTGGATCCGTCCTGATTAGCGGCGGTGACATTGGCAAAGACCTCCCTGAGTATCTCTAGCATATGCAGACATCGATGTATACTTCCAGGGTGCACTGTGATGGAACTTGAGCTAGCTTGACAAGTTGGAGAGAAGCAATTGCATTAGGAGCGATAGAGAACGATCACACGGTCACCGGGCCCATTATCTCGGCTACCCCTCAATTGTTGCGACAGACCCCGAGCGCTGTAATTGTAGCCTGCAGCTGTTACTTACTAGATCCCACATCTTATACACTCGCCACCCATGAGCTAATCGTTGACTCAAAGAAAATGGGTGGTAACACGTCGTATTGAGAGTAAATTTCTGCAGAATAATGAATGAACAGACAGACGATATGTCAGAAATCCTCGATCTAAATTAATCATCGGTCATCTACTTTACAAGTTATGTATTGGCAGCAATAACCTGTCGCTCTACCTCACCCCAAAGGTCCATATACCCCTGCTCAACAGAATCTTGAGGGAATCCTTGTAGATCGTCATCCAAAACATACAACCAGTTATCGCTTAATGTTTCTAAACCAGAGAGCGCGGCCTGTAGGAAAGCCGCGACACCATCTGGATTGGTAATAGGTGATCTGCAATGGCAGAACTCGGCAAGAGCGCGATGTGGAACGATAGTCCCTGCTTCAGCAAGACCTAACGCATCCTCCCTTGCGTCCACGCGCAGCGTAAGCTCGCGTAGATATGCGCAGCTAGCGAGGAGCGGGAGGAGACCGACTAGTGTAATTTTGAGGATAGATTGACAGGTGCGTTCGGGAAATTCGAGGACCTCGAGGCGGGGCCATGATGCGCCCATTGAGAGAAGGTTGGCATTGGTTAAGTTGACGATGCCATCTCCCTCGAGGTGCAGTACCGATAGGTTTGGGAGGGCTAACAAGGGAGCGATGGTGGTGAAGTCAATGGGATATCTGTTAGAAGGCGGCTCCCAGGGGTAGGAGGCGACCTCGAAGTGCAGTATCGACAGGTTCGGGAGGGCCAGCAGGGAAGTGATGGTGGTCAAGTCAATCGAGGGTCTGTTATTCGATTCCAGCTCCCCGCGCGCGACGGTGAACTTGAAGGAAGTCAGGTTTTGGGAGAGTTGAGTATTCGTGCGGATGCTCTGAAAGAATCGACGCAAGGACCATGTGCCGTCATTCTGGAAGCGGACCTCCAACGCCTTGAGACGTTCAAAGGCACGGGGAAGCTGGAAGAGGCTTGCGCAATGGGGGCCGGATGTGTTGAGGCGGAGTTTGGAAAGGTTTGGAAAAAGTTGGTCGTAAGGTTGATAGTTCTTGACGACGTCCATGATGGCCCCCGAAGGCACGGAAAGTGCCAGCTCCTCAAGGTACGGCAGGGTCGAAAGATGGAGGAAAGTAGGGCGGTCGACCTCAAGAGATAAGGTTCGCAGGACCTTCAGCGATTGGAAACCACGAAGGAGGGAGACGATGTCCAGAGGTGCGAATGTGCCGAGTTCCCAGCCGTACTTCGTTCGATATTCATCGATCGTGATAACCTGGACGCGCGCGGCCTCTGTCAATAGCCGTCCAATCATTTCCCAAGGTGCGCTGGGAATCACATCCTTGCCATCGACTGTCCTCGACTTGTTGAAGGCCATAATGTCAATGGACAACAATTTTGGGCCGATGATCAGGCGAGGAAAGACAGCATCGCCTGTAAAATCAGTTGCGTAGAGCATCGCATGCTTCACCGAAGTAAGGAGGGGACCGACGGCTTGCTGGGATGACTTGTGAATGTGAAGGAAGGAAGGGTCCAGAACGTATGGTCGACAATGGGAATATTGAGGCCTGCCCACAACCTGGATGCGGTCCGCTTTTTCCTTGAAGTCTTTTAGGTTGATGTCGCGATTGAGGCGCTGGATGTAGCATCGTTCGTGTGAGTAAGTTTATCCTGCATTATAGGCAAGCTATTGTGACTCACCAATACCTTTAAGGTTTCTCTTTGTGAAGCTGACGGGAGTCCGTATATATGGAGTGCATCTTGAGGGAGGCAGGCGACTATGGAGTCAAGCCCTGGAATGGCACGCCAAAGGATCCCCAGAGCCGGGCCCTTGAACCACCGACAGGTCAGTGCGAGATTGAGGAGCGCGGCTGATTCAGGGGAGGGCGTCCTTTCCGTCCCGTCCATATGAGCGCCGGCAACATCGGTAAAGATGGCGAGGAGGATATCTAATGTCCACAGGCAGCGATGCATGATCGCACAAGGAAGGTCGGGAGTGCTCGGGTTGTCATCTCTAGCATATTGCTCGTTTTCAATGCGATCGACGCGATCACTCGTTCGCAGAATTTAGGATGATCGATCATATCCGGTACAGCTGCGCAGAGGGTGTTTTGAGCCAATTTGAGCACCAGTCATAGAATTAAATTTCTCAGAAATTTACCTGCTTTTGTTGGAACTAAGGGATCTATAGATGGAGGAAAGGATCTCTCGACAGAAATCCAATTACCAACTCGAGACCATCGGCCAAAAGTTAAGATGTTATATGCCGATCGAGTTCAGCAGCAGCTTGTGACAGGAGGTGGCCTATCTGGATACTTTAGGGCGTTGTCCCAGACAATGAAATGAAAGACGCGGCCTGGAGCGTTCCATACACAGGTTATCCAATTATGCCACCTGGGGAAAAGCGACATGGCGGGCGCTATAGTGTAGTGGTTATCACTCGGGATTTTGAACTTGTGTCACGGTTGCCTTTGAATTCCCGAAACCCAGGTTCGAACCCTGGTAGAGCCTTAGTAATCATTTTGATGGGTTAATCGATACAATAGCGAGTGCTTTGCATGTCACTTTGCAGGGTGTCCTGTTTTCAAAAACGGCTCCCGTGCGCCATCAAATCATGCCCCGCTTCGGCAGACCCTATGCCGGCAGTAGAATCCCGCCTTTTACGACAAAACCTCTTCCTTTGGTGGATTTCTGCATGAACTTGTCCAACATTCTTCACTAAAAGCTTGAAAAGTGTGGGCGGAAGGGGGCTGGAAAGAATATGGCGCGGAGTGGGAGCGACTCGGATCAACATGTGATCTCGTGATCAATTTCAGCGAAGACGACCTGCAATGCAAAGCACTGACCAACAGCCCCATAAATGACCGGCATCAACAGGGTTCCCAACCAGGATCCCACAGCCATACTGCAGGTGATTCACTTTCCAGCGTCCGCCCGAAAACACACGTTCTGCATCTACTGACGAACCTGCAAAATGTAAGTTTAAACTAAAAGTGAGTGTGACAACCCTCACCTGCGTGCTAAGCAGAAATCATTCGAGCCAACTGAAGCTGCACGATATGACTCTGCCAATACGCCATCACTCCACCACATGCCGCCAACTTGGCGGGGGAAATGACGCGCTCCAAGAGGCACGTTGTGATGTCGTCGATATTGATGGAGGTCAACGTTATTGAACTGATCCCTGCCCTCTGACATGATATATTACTACACCCAAGTAGGATGTACCCGGTGCCTTTCCTTCGTCACGGTATTGATTATGACCTCCTACCCTTGCCAACCGACGACACCACCTTCCCTGGACTGGAAGTGCGGGTGGCAGGTGACGAGAAACAAAGATTGGAATGCCCACAACACCCTGACCCTATGTACGGTGGGTGACCTCGCTGCGTACATAACATTCATTGGCATCCCTTGCCGCCCTTAGTTTCATCCCACCAACAATCTTCTTAAAGGAGGTTGGGATCCACTGTCTGCTGTTGACCACGAAGCACTCAGAGGTTCTGCCCGTGTTATGGGTCTCTATGAACTGCCTATGCGTACTCAAGTGTGAGTTCTTTGATCTTGTTAATTATACTTCATCAGTATCGAGGATACACTTCCAGGATGCTGCACGATTGCTTTCATATCTCTGGTGTATGTACGTACCCACACCCACCCGGAGACAGGCCCGTGGTCTGATAAGGAAAACTCAGCAATCCTGCTGTACGACCATTTTATCACACTTGGTGAGTGGCCGAATGGCAATGCGGAACCTATATTCAAGTTTTTGGATATAGGGGAAGAGGTGGAGTACATGTGGACAAGGCGAAAGACACGGAGCGCTTGGCTATTTCTTTCATCCCGATATTTCTTTTTCCTATCGAATGTCATGCTATCTGTGTTAGAATTCATGACGGAACTGCCAAGCCTAGTGCGTCCATTTTCTTTGTGCACAATCGACTTTGATTTCCAAGGCCTGTTCAACAGATGTCCGACTTCAAATTTCGATTCCGCCCAGCTGTTCTGAATTATCTTTTTTTGTAGACATTGCGAACATTTTCATACCGCCCGTCAAGTATTAATTGTCGTCAACCAAGGACTCGTGTGTTGTGCGTTGCATCTTGCCATACTTGGATTAGCGGTGCGCTTGGTGCTGATGGCTAGACATGAACTCGAAGTGCTTCTCTCACTTCGCATATTCGCATTATATTGCTGCTCATGGCGCATAGCCATGTTCATGCTAGGAAGTGCTGCAGTTATTGGAACAGCGGTCCTCGTGCGTTCTCTACCATCTTGTTCGTGATCGATCTGACCAGATGACGGTGTTCACATATTAGCTCGAGCTCTACCTTCGCCCCAAGTCCTCGTCAGGACGGGTTCAAGATGGCTGTGAAGTGGGCATCTCCTTCGAAAGGTAATCCGGCGCCCCCAAACCACAGCTGCAAGCTGTATATTGATGCTTTGCTTTTCACTCTCAGAGCCATCCGTACGTCATCATAAACTACCGACCATCAGATACTCTCTCACTCATAGTTGCCGTCTGCTATTAGATATCTCAGGCGGGTGGATCGGGTTATTTGTATATGACTCAATTCTTTTTGGCCTTACGGTCTCTAAGACGTGGCGAACCAGACGAATCCACGGCTGTATCCCTATATCAGCGTTGATTCTCAGAGACGGTAAGTTCTTGACCATCTTTGACTTCCATCCGACTTCGATTACTGAGACTGGACAACATAGGCATGCTCTACTATGCGTGAGCCTAACAACGACCTCAGCTGTTCGCTTGACTTACTGACGGTCGCAAGTTCAATCACTCTCTTAAATGGTGGTAACCTCCTGACGTATTGGGTTCGTGACATCGCTCCTCCATCATCGCCCTCAACTCAAGGTATATCCACTCACAGCTAGGCGGCGTGCGTTTCATCAGATGTTACCGATTATCAGGTACCTTACTGAGGATCCTCTAGCCTTTTCTCAGAGGAGGTTTATCGGTCTTCGCAGGAAGGTACGCCGATCCCCGCCACCCCCCCTCTCTTCTCCTTAATTACGACTCCCACTCCTAATGATGTCTTCCTCTTCCTGCAATGGAACCAAAGCCTGTCAGCTGTCCTCATCTCACGCTTCCTAATCAACCTCCATGCGGTCAATGATTTGGGGATATACAACGCTGAGCATCTACAACGATATCACGACCGCCTTTATGATCACGAGGAGCTGCAGCAGGTGAATGGGCGGGATGTGGATGCAGAGGGATGGAATGTGGAGGTTGGCGGACCCCGATCTTGCACGCTGAGCGTGGAGCTTGATACCATCTTCACTGCTGACCTCGAACTTCTAAGAATAGAGGCATATTCTTTCTCCTTGTAACCCTTGTAATGATCGACGCTTACGTTGTGTAAATCTACTCCTGTCCTTGCCTAGATAGTAAAGGACATCAACGGAATCAGGAAATGCGTGGATTGTGAATACGTGTATGTGTGTGTGGTTGCATAGAGGAGGTATTGCAGGAGATTAGATCGAAACAAGCGTCCAAAAGCTACTATTTGTACATATGTCGGAGGGCGCTACAAAAGTATTGGTACAGGGGTGGAACATAATGATAATAAGTAATAAAATACAGCAAGCCTTCTTGAACTCGTTGCTCGTCTCGCCGAGTCCTGTTCATGTTCGAGGGTCGAACAAGAGTCAAGAGTCCCAAAAATCCCCTTCAGTGGGTTTCGCATGTCGTCGACGATTCGACACCAACCCGCCCCTCAAAGACGACCCCTTGCTCTTTCAACGAGCCCTGGACGATCTTCATCGCTTCCAGGACCCTCTCCTCCTCGAGCCGTCTTCCGACTATCTGCACGCCGAGTGGAAGGCCATGCATATCATCGACATCGTAGGCAGAGTATGCCAATGAGCTCAACGGCGATGACGCCACGAAGTTAGGTGGCAGGCGATCGAGCTCCTTGTCGACAAACGTCACAGGAAGGACACCGGCTGTGTAGTCTAGCTGTGTCGAGAAGCAGAGGGCAATCGTGATAAACGGATGCCAAGGAGAGGCGGATCATCGTCGATGGAGGGTAAGGAAGGAAGGAAGGAGCACGGAACGGATAGAGGGAAACAGAAAGGGAGAGGTGGCGTTAGCGGCAATCTATCGATAAGCGGATTTAGCGACTTACAAAACTAAAGATGGTCGTCAGCCCCGCCGTCATCAAGTTCACCTTTTCTGACTCCCCGTGCCTAAACGCCGGGAATGGATGTGGTACTGTGATCACGAAATCGAGGCCTTTCTCCCTCCAGCGATTGTGCCACTCGGCGCGGTACGATTCGCGCTGGGCAGTGAGTGAACGAAGCTCCGCTACGGATTTGGAGTGCATGATGCGGAGAAGAGATGCAGAACCGGGATCGGATTTGCGTGTGATATATGCGAGGAACTGTTTAAAGGACTTCGGGAGGGCGAGTAGGTCGAGTACGGAAGAGGAGGCTTTGGAGAGGTTCTCGTTCGGTGAGAGAAGGGAACGTATTTGCTCTCCTGAGCAAGAAGGTCAGAAACGAAACAGACTTCTTGGGAACGTTCAAACGCACCTCCGTCGCTGAAGAGTAACTGGTAGGCAAGATTTAAGCCGCGTTCAAGATCTGGAGGTATACTGGAACAGACAGATCATTCAGTGAAACGTCGACATGAGGCTGATCCTGGCCGAACATACAATTCGACGACCTCGTGTCCTTGCTTCCGAAGAGCCGCAGCGACCATCGACAAGGCACGCTTGCACGCTGGTGTGATCGGAACCGCACCTAGGTGGCAGTTTCAGAGAAGCTCGAGAAGACGGAGAACAGTGCTGCTCACCTCCTTCCAACACGATGCCCCATTTTAATTTTCGCCCATCCTCTCGAAGATCGACATTTCTCCAAGGGATCGGGTGGCACTACATAGCGTCAGTCACCCAAGTATAAAAGATATGGATCGCATGACGCACCGTGTGGTCATACTCCCAGGGCTTGGCCATGATCACTCGCTTCCAAAATTCGTCCAAGTCTTCTAAACTGCCTGCCATTGGCGAACACACGAGCTGAAGGCCCTCCAGACCCTCCAAGGGCGACTGATTGCCCCACGACGGAAACCTGCCCGCGCTACCTTTGAGGCTCCAGATGCCGCAGAAGTGAGCCGGTATCCTGACGCTCCCTGCCAGATCCGTCCCAATCTCAATCTTGCTACCTCCACACGCCACGAGGGCTGCGCCTCCTCCGGTAGATGCTCCTGGGGTGTGAGTGTCCTTGTACGGGTTGGAGGTGCGACCGTAGACGTCCGAGCTAGTTTCGAGACCAAGCAAGCCGGTGGGGACGGTGGTCTTGGCATGAACCAGGGCGCCGGCGTCTTGCAAAAGTCGGACGATCGCAGAAGACGCTGAGACAGGGTGGTTGACGTTACGCGAGAATCCAATGGTTGTATCGTGTCCGGCGATGTCGATCGTGTCTAAGCGATATTAGGATCAGCTGGTTCGAGTAATAAATGAGGAAATAAGCTTGCCTTTGATGCTGAC